TAGAGAAGGATATCACCAAATCAGAATGGGTAAGGCTGACATTTACAAGACAGCCTTCAGAACTCATTTAGGGCACTATGAGTTCAAGGTCATGCCCTTTGGACTGACCAATGCACCTGCTACTTTTCAATCCCTAATGAACCATGTGTTCAATGCCTATTTGAGGAAGTTTGTGTTGGTATTTTTTGATGATATACTAGTAGTGCATCAGTAGATGACCATGTGGGACATCTCAGAAAAGTGTTGGAAATACTAAGGAAAGAACAGCTTTTTGCCAAACTATCTAAGTGTTCTTTTGGTCAACCTAAAGTGGAATACCTGGGACACATTATCACAGGGGAAGGGGTGTCCACAGACCCTTCCAAAATTGAAGCTATGGCAAATTGGCCAGTCCCTAAATCAGTAAAAGCCTTGAGAGGGTTCTTGGGGCTGACTGGGTATTATAGAAGGTTTGTCAAATCCTATGGGATTATTAGCAGGCCATTGACTGGCCTACTGAATAAGAATGCCTTTCAATGGACTATAGATGCTGAAAAGGCCTTCCAAGCACTTAAAAAAGCTATGACAACAGCCCCAGTCTTAGCATTAGCTGATTTTACTAAGGAATTCATAGTGGAAATTGATGCCTGCTCTAAAGGCATTGGAGCAGTACTCATGCAGAATGGAAGACCCCTGGCCTACTTCAGCAAAGTTTTGGCTCCTAGACATCTGGGGTTATCTACTTATGAAAAAGAATTCATGGATGTCCTCTCAGCAGTGGATAAATGGAGACACTACCTTCAAGGGGGCCATTTTATAATTAGGACTAACCATCATAGCTTGAAATACCTACTGGAACAAAGGGTCACCACTGCACTGCAACAGAAAGGACTAACCAAATTGTTGGGGCTAGACTATGAAGTGCTGTACAAGAAAGGATCAGAGAATAGGGTGGCTGATGCCTTGTCAAGAAGGCAGGAGGAAGAGGAGCCAACGTTAAATGCATTATCAGTAGCTGAACCCACATGGATGCAGGAAATAACTCACAGCTGTGAGCATGATCCTGCAGCCTTACAACTGCTAACTGAATTGATAACTGACCCAACTTCCAAACCAGGATATACTCTACATCAGGGTATTATCAGATATAATCAAAAGATTTTTGTGGGTAAAGGAGCTGAACTGAGGGCTAAGATTTTCAGGGAATTGCATCAGTCACCTCTAGGTGGACACTCTGGGCAGCAAGGCACTTACAAAAGGGTTAATATGGTCTTCTATTGGCCAAGTATGAAAGGTGATATATGCAAATGGGTGTCTGAGTGTGATGTTTGTCAGAAGATAAAAACTGAGAATGTGCACTACCCTAGCCTACTGCAGCCTTTACCTATCCCTGATACACCATTGCATGACATTGCCATGGACTTTATAGAAGGCCTCCCTTCCTCTACTCACAGGAATGCTATTCTAGTAGTAGTTGACGGGTTGACTAAATATGGCCATTTTATAGCCCTCAAACATCCCTATCTATACAGCTAAAGACATTGCAGATTTGTTTCTTAAAGAGGTGCATAGACTACATGGCCTTTCCAAAACCATTGTCACAGACAGGGACCCTGTGTTCACTAGCCAATTTTGGCAACAGTTGTTCAAGTCTATGGAGACCAAACTTACTATGTCCACTTCCTACCATCCCCAGACAGATGGACAAACTGAAAGGTTAAATAGGTACCTAGAAACTTATTTGAGGTCTATGGTGTTTGCTAATTCTAAGCACTGGTTGAGATGGCTTCCTATGGCTAAATGGTGGTACAACACCAACCAGCACACAACCCTCAAGGCTACACCATTTGAAGCCCTATATGGGTTTCCCCCTTCTTAGGTGCCATTGGGATCCCTACCTTATTCTACACACACTCAAGTGGGTGCATGCATGGCTCAGAGGCAACACATTCTACAATAGCTTAAGGAGAATTTACAAGTGGCCCAAGCCCGTATGAAATTTTTTGCAGATAAGAACAAAACTGAAAGAGTATTGAATGAAGGTGATATGGTCTACCTAAAACTACAGCCATACAAGCAAGCATCAGTAGCAGTTAGAAAGAATCTAAAGCTGAGTGCTAAATATTATGGCCCTTACAAGATTCTTGAAAAGATAGGAGCAGTGGCATACCGGCTAGAACTTCCAGCGGGATCCCAAATCCACCTTGTCATTCACGTTTCACAGCTGAAGAAGAGGGTTGGTCCTGACATCAATTCTCAGCATCAGCCTCCCATTTGCGATGATGATGGTCGTGTGATGGTGCAACTTGTGGCTATTTTAAGGAGACGTATGGTGAAGATCAATAATGCAGCTGTTGTGAAGGTTTTGGTACAATGGTCTAATTTGAGCCCAGAAGAAGCTACGTGGGAGGATTGGGGGTACATTAAGAGCCAATTTCCCGACTTTATCAGTCAACTCCGACCTTGAGGACAAGGTCTTTCTGAACGGGAGGGTATTGTTATGTCGGAACTCGGCTGAATGGGAAACCCTATTGCTAAGTTGGGAATTGAAGTGTATTAGTAAAGAGATGACATGGCAGCAGGAGATGGAATTACTCATATTAGTTTAGACGGTTCAGATTAAAAGCAGTGTTATTAAATAAAAGGCCCAGATGAGTTGGGTAGTTTGGGCCGTTACAGTGGCTGTTAATTACAGCTGGGCTGTTAAATAGATAACTGAAGGAGAACACTGGCAGTTAAGAATTCTGGTATTTCTCACTTCCTTCCCTTCGATTCTTCTTCTTTCTCCTTCTCTTTCTGATCCTCTTCTCACTTCACTTCTTCTTCTTTTTACAGGATTCCACCATTGATGATCAGCTCAAGCTTTGTTACTAATCATTGTAAACCTTGTAGTAATTGAGCGAGAGTAGATTGTAATAGTACAAATCAATAAAACTTCAGAAATTTAGCCTTAATTCTCTTTTTTCAATTCTAGTCCATTACATTAATATTATACTTGGATTTCTGCTAAGACTTAGGCCCCGTTTGGCCATGAGTTTTGTCAAAATAAATTTGGGATTTATTTTCAAAACTCATGTTTGGCCATAAATTTTGCCCATATTTTGGACAAATCCCAAATACCAAATTTCAAATCCCAAAATCAGCTATTGAGCTAATTTTGGGCCAAAATCTCAAAACTTGGGAATTATATACCCGTTTTTCCAAAATAAAGTTGGAAAATATGTTTTGAAAACGTATGTCCAAACACATTTTCATCTTCAAACCAAACTTCACCCAAATCAGATTTTTCAAAACAAATTTGGGATCTATGGCCAAACGCTAGCTTAGTCTATTGTGAACAAGCCTCACAAGCTAATAACAAGACTTTGAATGAGTTGTTTAGTTTGTTCAGAAGTGTTTCCCTACTGCTCTCTTACTCATTGGTTATTCACCAACACGTCTCTCCTAGCTCATTAGCTGTTGGCACAAAAAGGTGCAACCTTTGAGAACTTTCTGAAGTCATGTTTATAGGTGTGATATCCTTTTTCTCTTTGAGTCGGGGTCTATCGGAAACAGCTTCTCTACCTTCACAAAGTAGGTGTAAGGTCTGCGTACACTCTACCCTTCCCAGACCCCACTATGTGGGATTACGCTGCTTTGTTGTTGTAATCTCAAATATTGATGTCACTGTCAAATTTTACGTTGAGGTAGGGCAGAAGAATTGTGATTGATCTTGCAATTCCCAAAGGATGTTGTAATTCTGTTCAACCGGTATTTTCTATATAAATAGAATGAACTTTACTATGAAGTTATGGTTGCTGCCCAAGTGTTAACATATATATATATATTTGTCTCATCGAAGTCTAATGATCCAGCTATATGTCTAGTATTGACCCATTCGTTGTAGCAAATAGTTGATTTTCGTTGTCTCCATCACATTTATTATATGCGTATCATCTAAACTTGATTTGATTATGCTTTTAATCTAAAGTAAAATGAAAATTTGAAGAATTTGGTTTTAACTAGCTTGATTTTGACCCACCAGTCAACCACGATATTGAGCATAATCTAGAGAATGAACAGTCAAATAACTAACTAATTTCGTATCTGGTTGAAACGTTCCTTAATCTATAGTAAGGATGCTCATCTCTAACGAAGTTTGGTATCTTAGTCTGGACACACAGGTAAATGTAAATAAGAAATAAAAGAGCGATTGAAACTGAATATTAGTGGTATGTCAGAAAGTCTTCTAGACATGAACATTTTTCTTAATATTAAAATGGTATAATACGACCACGTTTACATACTAAGCTACTAACTCCAATAAATTTATGCATGTTTGTGACCATGGTTACATACTAAGCTACCATTCCCTCTATTGCCTTTTAAATAATAAATGAAGTACATAGTGTACTATAATACCTATAATAATAAATCATGGGAAAGGATTTGGAGAATGAATATCTAATGATGAGGATTAAAACATGAAGGAAAAAATTGTTTTTCTTAAGTGGATAAGTAAAAGGAAAAATATATTTTTACTATATTAGACGAGTAAAAGGGAACAAAATGAGTAATTCCAATCAATTAATGCATCTTTGTCTGTCATTCCAATCAATTAATGCATGTCTGTATGTCATTAACCATAACTTTACGGGGCACAGTGAATGAGATATTCAAGATTTTACCATTCATAAGCAAACCCATAATCCCATTTTACCCGGAGAAAACTTCCATATTATAATCACTTCATAAGTTTAAATGTCTTGTTCCTATTCCGTATCCTATGAATAATAAGCACCAATAAAGGAAAAACGAAACTCAAGAATTTAGTAAAAATATTCGATTTATTCACAAGCACCTTTTACTCGAACCATAAGCTATAAGTCGTACTTCCAGAATAAAAGATCGTTTTATAAAAAAAGTGATGAATTTTTCACTCTTAAGTGATTAACTGTTCACTCTTAATAGCTTGATGGTTCAGTTAATCTGTTCCCATCCATGAAGTATGTCACTGAACCTAGAGTGGTTTAAATGGTCTATTTAATGAAACTTGTTGCGTGCATAAGAAAAATTCTCAGAGCCATATTTTCAGTGCGACTATATGTACAAAACTTTTATCAATCTCAAGCAGATAAAATGTAGGAATTAACTCCCTGCGAAAAGAATGCAGACCTAATATAGGTCTAATACAGTAAAAGAAAAAAGGTATTGCAAGAAAAGCACAAGATACAGACAAGAAAAACAACTATTATGCAGAAACTACTGAATCTTCATATTGCCAAGGGTTGAACTCAGTCGTTTTAACATCAGCCTCTTCACCCTTGTCAGAACTATCAATAGCAGCGCGATGTTCATGATATTTGCCATTGTATTCATACACCTCCAAGTCACCCCAAGGTGTAGGGCAAACTTCATTTGATAAGTTGAACCATTTTGGTTTGAATTCGTCGCCCTTGGCCTCTCTTGTTCTCCTGTCAGCTCTCTGCCTCTCCTCCAAACTGAATAAACAAAATCAAATACACCAGTAAAGGGTAAGAGGCTTAGACAATTGCAGCCGAATAGCAAAAAATTAAACATACACTGACGGAAGACGTGATCTTTCAACACGGAGACAGGAGAGGGCTTGTTATTTTCTTGTTCCACCAAGAATTTTGCCGGGGTAAACAAGAACTTTTTTATGCAAGTTGTTAAGCATGGACTGCTCGTTTAGCTGCGCAATATTAACTAGTACAGCAGTCCAGTATTTTTGTTTCTTCGTCTCCTCTTTCTAATTAAAGTGCAATGATGAAGCTAGAATAGATCAGTACTCAATTTTACAAGTCCTTAGTGGCAAATTTTATATAACACACATACATATAAATAAGTTTTTCTTAATGTCTATGAACAAGGATATGAGATCCTTGGAGAAACCCTGAAGTTCACCCCAGGATGACAATTGACACGCCAAAGGTAACAGACTGGAAGGCTATCTTTTAACAAAACCGTGTGTACAAATGTGGCTCACTGTAAAGCAAGGGTATGATCAGAGGAAAAGTGGAGTTTTACTTTTCTGACAAAAATAGAAAGGTCCCAAGCGCTAGATTTGATATTCGAATTTCTAAAAGTTAACTGTGCACACAGAAAATTAAAGAACGTAACATGCAGATTGACAAAAGGACACCTTAGAGGGGGAGGGAGAGAGAGAGAGAGAGAGAGAGAGAGAGACATACCGGCTCTTTTCTGAACTAGCTTTGGACAAGTCACCTTTCTCGAGTGCGTAACGATCAGGGCGCAAGCGAGAATCAGATGCTAATAGTTTCTTAGGTGCAGTATCAAAGCTGTTAATCTTGTGTGCGAAATACGTATACTGAAATTTGTCATTTTTAGGAGCATCAGCAGCTCTCCAGACCTGAAACAAGCGAAGAACTTGCATGTGAAAATTTGAGTAAATAAATAGTCCATAATTTTCACTTGACCACAGTTATCACCATTGTAGATATCATAAGATGCAACCTGATGAACCAAACACTTGCACCCCATAAGGTTTCAGTTTAAATATATTCAAGCGTTCAAAATTCAAAAATATAAGTTTTCCCAAATTCGATGATATTCATACATGTGGACAGGTCTAGAATGTCTTTGCCTCCACTTTTAATGTCTCTGTTTCTAAAATGGGGCGTGGCAGCACCTATGTATTAAGATGTATTACTAAAATGCCCTAGTGTTTGTTTGTGTGTTCTTTCTTCTTCCACTTTCAACGTTTGTATTTGTAAAATGTAGTCATAGCAGTACCTGTATATAAATGTCTAAGCATTATTTGCTCCACCAATGAGATATTTACTTGGATACTAAACTGAAATTTTAAAGTTAAATAAATCAAAGGAATACAGACTTGGGAAGTAAGAAAATCTCCATGAAATATATTGTAGCTTATGTCAGACATTTTCAGCAAAGCAGGTAGGTATGTTTATTTCTGTAAACTCTCCTATTTCCTTTCTTTTTTGCTTTATAAGGGGATTAAAATGTCAAAAGTAGCAAAGTGTACTACCACGTTAACTACAAGTCTACAACAGCAAAATTTATATTTAAGAATCTTATGTTTAAATTTGATTCTTCAAAAATTTGGACTCCGTGGCTTGCTTCAGCAAGAGAAGGGATTTCCAAATCAAGCTTGGCATAAACTGTAATCTATCTAGCTACAATTTGAAAATGGCAAACATGACACATACTTTAGTCTAAACTAATCTTGGTTGAGAAACTTGAAATTATATTGCAAAATCTGGAGGACTCAACATACTTCAAGTCATGAAGAGGGCAAAAAATACCAAAACAGAAGGAGGATATTACCAGGGATTATGATTAAAACAAAGCCAATGGAATTTCAGCTTAAATAAGAAGGCAAAAGAAAGTTGCATTGAACCAGGGGTTACTAACATAAGAAAGAAAGCTGAGTTCACCTCTTTCATTGTGCTGCCTGGCAGGGGTTCCCCTTCCAAATCACAGGGTTGATAACTCAAAGATTCATTCCATTTTCCGGTCATCAAAATTTTTGGTTCTTCCTCACTGTTGTAAACATATCCATCAACTTCATAGCGACCAGCACTGCCAAAAACACGATAGTTCAGAAAATCAAAGTGAAAAAAGGGAAGACAAGGGAAATATTTGATAGGCTTAGGTTTATAAAAAACACAGACAAGATAAGAAGCAAAAGAAACTTAAGTGAGAACATCTTCTGTAAACCTCTCAATTGGCAACGAGTATGTAATTTAGCTGTCTTAGGACCCGGATATGGAGAAAACTACAGTAACATTCACCATTCTGGTAGGTAATGAACCCCTTCACCCGGAAACAGGACTTGGTGCAGGACAGCTTCATAGCCCGCTAAGAGCGAAGTACAATAAGGACATAATATACTTTTAGTTTAAAGCTAGTCTGACAACCATACAAACGAGAGCTAGAAATATCAACGTTTTTACTCGAAGAATTAGAGTAAAATGATAGCATTAGTTGACATCTTTTACAAAAGCCAAAGACAGCACAAAAAAGATAGTTTCTTTGATAGCCAATGGAGTTGGCAACAAGTCATATCGCTATAAGCAACTTGGGAGATCACAAACCCTCCAAGAAACTGGATCTCAAAGTCAAACCTTCACAAGGAAACAAGCACAGGATTTCATCTTATTATAAAATCGCACTAATGGAAAAAAGTGAGCTTCCAAGCAAGACCTTATTGCATCCTTGGGTATTACATATTTTTTTTGGGCATTAATCCCTTGAACTTCTCTTCCACACTGCGCTGATTTGAGTAAGGTCCACAAAGAACTACTTCGAGGTGAAGAATAAGAGCAATCAGAACTTTTTTGCTAAGCATTACCAGAAGAAGTGAAAGAAATTTGAAGGAAACCATCCAGTTACACTACATATTGCTTGGTGTTTAATTGGTCTAACAGGTCTCTTGAAAAAGATTCATCCACAGAAAGGGTAAGTATTCTAGCACTTTGTCGTAATGAAGCAGTAAACAGGTGAAGAGAAGAGCAATGATATCAATCATACCCAAACCAGCCACAAGGTTGAAAATACAATAACACTTTATCCCCTGTCGTCAGGTTCGTCAAGATCATCTCCCCAGGCGAATCGATCCAGGTTCTCCCAAATATAAGATTGTGAACTTTTGTTGGAGGAGGCACCAAGTCTAGGACAACACCAGACTTTTTCAGAGTGAGCCTTGACCTGCACATCAATAGAATGAACCAAAAATGAAGATAAAGAAGGACATGGTCCACAGTTCGCAACATAACTAAACATTTTTAGCTGGAACCAGAAATAGGGGTTAGGTAACTGTTGAAATCATCTCCTAATTAAGTAATAGAAGGGATAATGTAACAGGAAGACAAAAGAGTAGTAGATGAATTGATGATCTCTCAATGTATCAAGTTTGTGCATGTTGTCTTTTCAGCTACCCCCTCCATTTCAATTTAGATGATGTAGTTTGACTTGGCACAAAGTTCAAGGGAAAAAAAGAAGACTTTTTAAAATATGTAGTCCTAAAAGCTTAAGGGGCAAAAGCCACATGACATTTATGTGGCTATAAAAGCTTCTCATTAAGGATAAAAAAGGTAGAATAAAAGGTTTAAAGTTGAATTATTTCCAAATATAGAAATGTGTCATTCTTTTTTAACAGACTAATAAGGAAAGCGTGTCATTTAAATTGAAACTGAGGGAGCATTATTTAGGGGACAGGTTGCAAAAAAGGCATGAATTTCATCTGCCAAATCACCTCACAGATAATTAGCTATCAGATAATTTATCTGAAACATTATCCTGCATGCTAGTGAACATTTCAGCCTCTTCCTGAAGCTTACTAAATAGTTCCAATTCTACAATTAAGCATCAGGCGGACTTAGCAAAAAACAAGAGGAACCATCATCTAACCAGAAGTAAACTTGTAAGAACTTGCATTACTATATCTGTTACACAAACATTGACATGTTTCGAACAGACGCCTAGCGGTTAAACGAAGATGCCTCTATTTTTATGCTTCTTTAAGAAAATGTCCAAACTCCTTGTGTGAATATTGAAGGACTATTAACTTCTTCCTCACCAGAATTCTGAGTATTTTTTAAGGTTCTTCTCAAGGTCTTATCGACAAAGCACCCAAACATGCTCTCTTAAACTGGAAATTCAATATAATAGGCCATACCTGCCAAGTGGATAGACTTCAACTGAGTTTCCCAAGAATTTGGTCTTCACCTTCGAGGTTATATCATAAATGAAATGTTCATTTTCTGCATGTGCTGCACCCATTGGTGGGTGATGACTAACCTGATAGTAGAAGAGTTAGTATCGCCAGCACAAAAAGTAATAATAATTGTTCACACCTTACAAGGAACACATGTTACAAGTTAAATTTGATCCTGGGGAAGCATTCACTCCACGACTCACCTGCTCCGCAATAAATGTGATTCCAGCATGGTTAACCAACTCATAAGTTTCACCAAGAATGGGGTTGAAGGGCTTCCATGTCCGTTGTAAGGCATAGTATACGGATATGAACCACGAGGCTGGAAAATCAAATTGTTAGTTGTAGCACATTTAAGCAAGAGATACTGGATTTAAAATAAGAGTGATGCTAAGCACTGCTGCAATAGATTGTTTACCGGAATACACTAATCTCATGTGTGGGTCCTCGCACTCATCTGCCAAGTCCAGTAGATAGGCGTACTCCATCAACTGTCAGTAGAATTGCTAGCTCAGTATAATCCTCAACAAAAATAAAGCAAAACACAGCAGTAAGCTGCAATAAATTGGAAACACACCTCTGCCATTTTTTGAAGGTTGGTCATTGGCTCACAAATAATAACTGGCAATGTCACCAACGAGGTAACATCAGCGCCTATGTACTTCTGCATCATTTTCCAATAATTATCGCGATCCTGCAAGAAATCTCAGAAGTGTGAATGTCTCAACAAAAACTCTAAAACTGCCCCCAAAAAGTCATTGGTGCTGCAGCTCCTATTAGTTGCCACTGACAGTTAATCACAAAGAATCTGAAAGTATTCGTTTTCAAATTTATAACTTTGTTAATATAATGGTTACAGGAGTCAAATGTGGCAAAAGGGGGAAGAAACAACGGATTTAGTGCTAGCACTCATCCCTTGCTTGGTTCTCCCATAAGGAAAGGTCTAGTATAGATTTTTCTTCTTCTTCATAGAAGCTCCATCTATCTGCCCTTCACAAGCTTCCTTCAAAAGGGAAGGCCCGTGTAGTGTGTTATGTCAGCTCCAAAAGGTTAAGTTGTGTTGACATTGATAAAAGTCACATGGAGTTCATAATTACATGAAACACGTCGAGCATATTAACCACCCCGAAACTAGCATTTACCTGAGTAAATAGCTTTCCAAGGAATATCTGGTAGTTTCCAAAAGCCAACAGCATACATCTGTATCTACTAAATGGAAAGTTCTATTTGGAGGTGGCTGCAAAAGGAGATGAGGCAAAGCTGCAGTGTGTCTCCTAGAGTATTGGATAATTATGAGGAAGGGTTCAGTTATTAAGCATTTGTCTTTTTCCATAGGTATTAGTCAGGGCAACATTTTCCCCCCAAAATATATGGGAGGCATAAACAAGTGATTGAACCAAAAAGGGAGTAGGGAAACTAGAAAACACCATTCTCTTTACAGATTATAGCAAACGGATAAATATACTCAGCCACCTAGGACACATCCAACCCTTCAGGATTAAGAAAGGAAGAAGATTAATACCTCCGCCTTCCATCTTCCTCGTTGGGCTTCAGCTCCAGCATCTTCATTGCCTCCTTCAGGATTTACGACTTCCAGACCTTCATAACCAAGCATGCTGGAACAGGAATGACAGCTTATGACTAAAACGCCCATAGAAATCAAAAGTACTATAACCAAGGAAAAATCTGACATATCATAAGATTTCAATTTGTCTAAATAACAGAGTATTGCAAATTTTAATGGAAATTGATTATATACTCACTAAAGCACAATAAGAGCCGAAAAAAACAAATGAAAATCACTATCGATAAAACTTCCCACTTTCTGTAGCAAGATATTAAAATCTTCAGCTCATATGTTGGAAGTAATATGTAAAATGATAAATACATTCTGTGCATAAATATAAGCGTTTGTATTCTGTTTCATCGGGTATCATATATGGGAAAGCTTTCTAAGATCAATAAATTCCGAGAGGCAGAGGGAGGTAGAGAGCAATTTATTATCAGCATGCATAATTATTGAGTAACAAGATAATGCGCCAGTTACATGGAGCGTAAACTGTCAGCATAACCTAAAATTTCTTGCACCTTCAACGTTTTTAAGGGAGGCGAAATTTACTTTATCATCCACATTTCTTGTTTCATGCCAGAAATAGAACGTGGTCCGTAAGCAGGCTGGTGATGGTCATATTTTCGTAAGAAACATATATAACCCAACAACTTTGCCTGTTCCTTTTTCTCATTGTGCTAACTCCCTACAACTCTATTTAATTCTAACTAGTTCAAGGAAAGTTTTAATTCTTGAAATATATCTCGTATGGGCATCAAGTTTTAACCTCTGTGTGTCGCAATTTTCTTCTGTTTTCAAGCGCATTGTGCATCAAACTTAAGCGGCATCTTAATGAAATCTTCAGCTATTAGCTGACTCGACTCGTATAGGTTTGTCAGATAAGCTAATTAAAGAAATAAGGCATAGCTCCTTCAAGCTTACTGTTAACTGCCTTTAAGTAACATTCGTAGACTAATATTATAATCAAAACACTAAGCAGTTATAAAATAACCTATTCACATCACTGCCATTATTACAAGTTCAAATTGAATTCCAAGTACTATAGAAATGGAAAAAAATGGAACTTTTAGACACAAAATGACAAATGAAGATTCTTTGAGCACCCAATCAGTTAATGCAAATGAAATCGAGGTAAAAACAAGAGGAAATTTTCAAATTCTCAAAAATCGGGTTAAAAGGTAAGGAAAAACAAAGCAAAATGAAACAAAAATCAAATCAGAGTTACGGATCTGCAGGCAATTTCCAATTTGACAGTAAACTCCGGCGTAAATAAAATTTTAAAATCACAAGAGGGATGATGAAATTAGGGTTTTTTTTACCCATTAACAGATTTAGACATAGCACTGCCTAAATTGGACAAGCTCGATGCTATTGAGGAAAAGAAACCTCCACCACCACTGCTACCGCTTTGATTCTCATCTTTGTTGGACGCCATCGATTAAAAACAAACTCTTTTTTTTCAAAGATCTGATGAACACAAGGTATTTTTTTGAAGAAAAATTGAGAGAATTAAAGGGGATTTGTGGGGGCGGAGACTAGAAAGAAGAGAGGAGGAAGAAAGGTAAAGGTCAGTGGCGGGTCCTCTGACTCTGCTTTATATGTTTGAAGTCAAAAATGACATTTTTACACAGTTTGTGCAATGAATCTTATTCTGTTCGCCTCTACCAAAAAGATTTACGCGTCTAATTTGTCTTTAATTTTGGTTCCAGCTTGGCGGCTACTCTAGAGACGGCCCAACACAATATTATATGGCAGCAATTTCATTTCATTCCCTTTAAAAAATTAATTTTAAAAATAATTTAATTTAAATTTTTCATTTACTTCTAATGATAAATTTTTTATGTAATATTCCTTTCCTGTTATCTTATTATCTAGCTATTGTTATCTCTTTTTTTCCATCTTTGTCAATACAATATTTCTTTTTCAACTCTGATGTGAGTATATTGTCTTTGAGTCGAGGGGCCTCACTTGTGAAATTATACTAGGTTGTTATTGTACACAAGTATAATTTCATAATTGAGACCATAAGTTTCTAAAAATCGTTGCTTCATAAATTAAAACGGGAGAGTATGATATTTGAAATAAATTTATTTTGTTTTTTCAAAGGAATATCTTTATTTTTGTGACGTTCTTTTTTTTTCTCCTCTTGAAGACACTATTACTCCTTACACATTCTTGATATTCCAAAAGTATAAAAATTAGTGTTGAAAAATTGACAATATTATTCCTATCATGAAAATTTTAGTCAAGTAATATGAAGGGGAAATTGAAAAGGTAAGGGTAGATACGGGGGAAAATATAAATAAGTCTTTTCTTCTCAGTGAAGATATGATAGTAACATTTGAATCTTGATCACTCAAAAAAAAAATAAAGGTGAAGTCAGAATTTAAAATTTATGGGTTTGAAGTTTTAACATATTAAATTATCGAATTTTAAATTAATTATTTATATATATTAAATAAATTTTTTTAAATAATTACAGAATTTGGACCGAAATGATTGGGTCCGGCCGGACTATCAATCCCTGCATAAACATGCAGCGTTTCCTGTTACTTCATGACCTATCTTTAGAAAAGAGTTACTGTCAGATAAAATAACAAAAGAAATTTTTATTTTTGAATATATATAATCATAAAGAACTCAACATGATTGAGAGTAGCGTGAGACAGCTAGACCAATCAACGATAAGTTCATTTTTTATTCAATAGAAGTTTTTCAATAACGAATTAGTGATTACGAAGTGCCAATGATCTTTGTCTGTCAGTTTTTTGTATATATGAATATTGCAAAGGAATTCCGTCACCTAATTTTAGCTTTGGACTAGAGTCAATATAATTTTTAGCCTCACTACATTATACGGCAATATATTTTTTTTATTTTATAATCGTGGTGTCCGAGCTAGCTTACGTAACATCGATTAATTCTATGAGATATCTGCTATCTTCCGCCAGCAATAGGTATCAGGTAACTCTGTTCACTAAAGCTTGGACAAATGAGATTTGGACCTAAGACCTCATGGTTCTTAACCCACCTTATTAATCACTAGATCACACCCTTTGACATAGACCTTGTACCTTTGTATATCAGAACGAGAATGTTTTTTCATCTTTTCCAATTTTACGTGATTACAAAGACGGATTTACAATATAAACTAGATAAAAAATAATTAAAGATTTTTCTCTAAGTTCATCGCAAATATGAAATTACAAATTCTCGTGTAATTGGGGTGCATTATGTCCTCACAACTCAACTTCTTAGGCTTCAACTTTAGCATGTTGCCCACATGAGGACATGTTATAAGAACATGCAAGTAACCTAAGCTAACAGTCGATACAACCCATGAATGAGCTGGCCAACATCTTTTAAAAATGATACACTAATAATAAGTTTCTATTTAATATTGCTTAATGTTATTTATTGTTCGATAACACTAACAATAACGAAATAATATGAATGGCGTATTTCAGTCTGAATAAAGCATGCAAAATATCTTTTCCTTTTTGTCCTTTGGGGTTATCGTTAATGTTGTATAGTGACCAGGGCGGAGTTAGGTGGACGAACAGCGGACGGGAGTTTAGCTGAATCCTTTTCGTCGAAAATTACACTATGTATATAAGATTAAATTTTTATTTTATGTGTATATATTAGATATTGAATTCCCTTAGCTTCTTCGTGTATTTTAATTTTTTAATTTTTTAAATTTTCTTGGTAAAAATCCTGCTTCCGTAACTGATAGTGACCAACTGTAAATTGTGTCTTCAGACATACCATTCGGATGTTTGTTGACCCTCTTTTGGCCTCATGATTTTTTGGACAAATGTAAAACATTTAAGGAAGCGGCTGCACTTGTGTGATAGTATTGACAAAAAAAAAAATTGTGTTTGCTCTTACTTGGTCCTTTTTTCCGATGACTTTTACAGATATGCATAGCTACACCTTTATCTCTTGTGAAATTGTCTAATGTCCAAAATGTAATTGTTTAAAACATAATGTTACGATTCAAATGAGGAAATAGCACTTTTAGTCCCTGTATTATAACTATATTTTTATTTTAGTCCTTATGTTATCCAACTTACCACTACTAGCCTTCAATTATATCATGTGAGTGATTTTGATCCTTCAACTAACAGACCTAAATATTTTTGACGGAGAGTTTACTACTAAAAGGGGCAATTTAGGTATTTCAAAAGTTGTTGTTTTGAGAAATAAAAAACATAAAGAAAAATCAGTCTCTTGTCTTGGACATGACGTACCCTAGTTGAACCCTAGTTCTGCAATATTTAGAGGGTGTTTGGCTAAGCTTATAAGCTGGTCAAACTGGCTTATAAGCATTTTTTAGCTTATCTACGCGTTTGGTTAACACCAAAAGTGCTTATAAGCACTCGGCTTATAAGCCAAAATAAGCCATAAGTCATAAGTTGGTCACCCCCAGCTTATGATTTTCTGACTTATAAGCACTTTTGGTTTGACCAATAATTTTACTCTTTTACCCTATTATTTTATTATAATCTTTAAAATACTTTAAAACGAAAACCTAAAATCTACCGTTCTTCACGATTCATTCACTCACCATTTTTTCTACCTCCTTAACCTCCTCTACTGTCTAAGAACAATCACATTGGCAATTGGCACCATTTAGGGTAGAAAGTTTCTTTACATTCTTAAATTATTTGCTAAGACTTTTTGCATCTTGTTGTAAAATTAGAGATCTGGGTATATTCCTAATTATTTCTTAATCTCTTGAAAAAGAAATAAAGAAGCATTGTGTTTTAAAGGGGAAAACGTTAATGTTGTTCAACAACGTATGTTGCCCAGATTCGAAATTTCTCTTATTCTTTGTATTCAAATATGAACCAAACGACTATTCTTTATTCTATTCCTTATAATGTAATGAATTTTGTTCAAATTATTAATTGTTTTATTTTAGCTTATGATTGTATTTTAGCTTATCACAATATAATTTTATTGAAAATAGTTTAATCTAATAAATTTTGCATAAATATTAAATTGAGACATAAATTATTTTTGTTTTTGAATCATTCAGGAATTGAAAATCATGTAATAAACAACTTTAGGGCATTTAAAACATTTTAATAGGAAAAAAATGCTTTTCAGCTTTTTTCACCAAACACTTCCGCTGCTTAATATTAGTTTTAGCACTTTCATCCAAACACGTAACTGCTTATTTAATAAATCAGCTCCAACATTAAAAAAATGCTTTTCAGCACTTAGTGCTTATCAGCTACTTTAAATAAGCTAAGCCAAACGGGCTCTTAGACGCTTCTTCATTGCAAAGAAGTCCTCGATCTATTTGATCTGGAAGCAACGATGGAATTGCGCTCTAGAAGTGGGTTAGAATCCACCCCATCATGTGAGTACTCTTTGAGTTAATTAGTTTAAGATTTCATGTGACAATCACAACATACATACTAGAATACTTATAATTATTGGCTTGATGATGTATGTGATTCTATATAAACTACTTATAAACTTCAAGCGACAAGACGAACTCGATTTCAAACACTTTAAGGAACCGTATGCTAACACAAAATGTATTCAATTTCTATTAGAAATTGAAAAAGTTACAACGAAACATATTTGATGCATTAGCCAAAAATACCACATACATTCAATGCTCTCAATTGTATCTTAGAATCTGCATATGTCCAGTTTATCTTGAATAATTCGACCTCGATTGCCGCCACTTTCTTTTCAATTCATCTAGCCAAATTGTTTCTCCTTATTACATGTTTGTGTGAAAGAATGGATTACTGATTACCAGTGTGCTCTTTTTTAAATGGTTGTTGTGTACAAGTGACCATCTCCATATCTGTCTATGCAATTGTTGAGTTGTCTGCTTGCCAAACTCATGGTATCCTCATAATTTTCTTCAAATCCCTTTCTTTTTCATTTTCTGTCTAAATAAAAGGGAGATGGAAAATGAATTTTTCCTTGAGATATGAAGGTTAATAGAAAGTCTTTAGAATTTTCTTTGTTGAAACTATTACTAAACAGAAAAATTACATCAGATAATAGGAATTTAGTTAATATAAAAAAAAAAAACATACATGGTGCGTCATTTTCTAAAATCTACATTTACTTTATCTTAATGAAACCAATATGTTTCTTTTTAAAATCTCTTTACAGATGAAGGTGAAGATCCTGATATGTACACAATTAAGCTACACTATATGGGTTGATGGATATTTGAGCCTGAGATGGATTATGTTGGTGGACAAATAGATTATTATGACTAATGTAAGGGAGATGAAAACTCTATCATCCAGATGAGACAATGTATGAAGAAGTTGAATGTTAATGATAGAAAAGTAAAATTTTGGTTCAAGTTTGGACCTCATTCCGAGACAAGTATAAGATTGTTAACAAATGACTCAGATATATATAATCTTGTCAGCGAAATACCTGTGAATAGAGAGGTTGAGATATTTGTTGAGCGCACAAATGAGGACCAATGGAGCATGATGTTGTGACTGATTTAGAGGGCCAACTTCATAATGAAGAAGGCTTCATAGATGTGAATATAATAGAGGGAGGTAATGATAGTGATGCTACAGTGAAGATTGTGAGTCATTCCATGACTCTGACTATCCCGAAGAAGAAGATGACATGATTTTAGATAAAATTAATAATTCTATTACAGAGTCAGCTAGTGTCAAAGGAAAAAATAAAGAG